CTGAGGCATAATTCGAAACTTTAACTTCGAAACAGTTTTCATCTTTCAGAAAAACTTCACTTAAGATACAAAAATCAATCTTGTTTGAGTTTAAGTAAAAATCTAGAAAAGGTAGGTTACGTCGGACACTTTGAATATTATATTGTAAAAAGGATATCATGTTGAAACTTGAGAAAGAACCCCAGCGGATTTCCTCGCAGTACTGGATGCTCGAACGGGGCAAGAAATAGCACAGACAGACATTTTTTCTTCTAATTCTTTAATAAGATTGTGAGGGATCATCGGATGGATACTTTCTTGAATCGCGAGAATTAATCTTTCAAGTTCTGAAGACCGCAAATAATTGTTTGAAATTTTCGGTCCAGACGACTTGGGGGGTGTATTGGGAGAAGGCTTGGTGGGTGAATTGATAAGAGATTTGGAGGGAGCCAATTTCCTTTTGACGACAGCATTGTATTTATTTTTGGTTAAGATTTTGTTGGCATTTTGATTATCATCCTTGGTCAAAATTGCAGACTTGTTCCCCAGTGGAGGGAAATTGCCGTCATAAGTGATGTCATCGAGACATTCGAAATAATTTTCGGAAAAATTCTCTTTGACCTCTTTATACGAAAGATTTTTAATCGCCATTATCCTGTTGATATATAATTCAATTTCCATATTAGGGCAACACTTATTGAGAGCGGTGTGCTCACCTGCGCCACAGGACAAGCACTTTATCGCCTCACAATTTACACACTTCGGAGACTTTCCACAGTTAAGGCACCTGCTCTCTTTAGCTTTGCAGAATTTAGATACGTGACCGTATCTGCCACACTTAAAGCACTACTTTAAAGTGGGTACAAAGTATTCGACCGGCATATTACAATAGTTAAATTTTATTGACTTAGGGAGGGCTCTCCCTTTGAAGCCAATTTTGATGCTGATTGTGGGAATTCACTCGTCTTTGTTGTTTGGATTTCTTCTTTGGAAACGGACAGCGTACTTAATCGGAATATCGGATATGGCGTTTTTGATTATATCGTCGACACTATATGTGCATGGGATGTTTCGAATAACTCCAAATCTCTCAGTGAACGACCTCGGTATGAACGCTTTTAAATTCTTTTTATTAAATTCATTATTCATAACAAAATTGTTGGCATTGGCAGCGGAGCTGAAAAGCAGTTTGGCTCTACCCTTACTGACAACTTTTAATTCTTTTAAGCCGTACATACCGAAATCCTTCAAGTAATCATAGAAATAGAGATTGGAATTAATATTGATGCGATTTCCTTCTGCGTCCGCGCACGTTTCGCCAAAAACGACAAAATTGCAGCTGGAAAGGCAATCGTACAAATTAATCTCGAGATTTGGGGCGGTTGTGGCACCCAAATCAGAGGGCTTGTCTGTTTACTAGGCGGAATTAAAACGTTTGCGTTAGCTTCTCCGGATAAAAGAATATTATTCTCACCCATTTTCGATCTCTTGGTGTGCCCAGTGGCGTTCATGTAAAAATCTTGAAAACAGTCTCTATTGGTAGTTATAAGATCAGACCCAGTCTCCATAGGGAGACGAGCTGATGTTGTTTTGGTTGTTATCACGGGGAACACAAAAAAAAAATCACAAAGAAAAAACAAAAAATTATAATTGAATATATGTATTGCTTCTTAAGTTTTCTCTCACGAGAGATTGCTCTTCCTTCCCTCCTTTTCTTTCTTTAAAATTGTTTTCTTTGGTTATTTTATTACTTTATTAAACCTCTTTTCCTTTTTTTCAAATATTTAAAATCTCTTCTTTTTTTCCCCCCTTTTTTTCACTAACAATGGTAAACACAAAAATTATCCAGCTGCCGTTTGCATAGATGACGTGTTGTATCAAGTGCGAATGAAATGCGAATGATGAAAGCAAATAATGAATTGCCAATAATTTCATCGAATAGTAAGCATAAAGTAAACATGGTAAGTGGTAAATAAAGTGCAGGCAATTTAAATTAGGAATAGAAAAAATTTTTTTTTTCGCTTCTTTTGTGTAATTTTAATGAAAATTTCTTCTATGCTTTTTTCATGTTTAAAAGATTTCATTGGATCAACAAAATAAATGTTAGCATGCAGTTCAAATAACTAAATAAACAACTTGTTGGCATTTTTTCTTTTTTGTATAAATTCATTTCAATAATCAGCAGTGGTAATTACAGGCCACCTTCGAAAGAACAAGCTCTATTAAACTCACAAAAGCTAAGAGTTGGCAACAATCAGAGACGATGAAGGCGATATGCGCACAGGACGCTGAACTGAATGTTTTCACAATGAGGTTCCGCTATAAAAAACTTCAAAGGAACCATTCTATCTAAAATTTATTTATAAGATCCACATTACTTGTTTTGTCTCTGCTTGTTTTTCAAATAAACGCAACTCTAAACATCCAATTCTAAGGCAAATTGGATGCGAAACGGTAGTTATTTTAGATGGAGCATACATAAACTAAAGAAAAAAAATAAGGCGGTAATCATGTACGAAAACCCGCAAAAAGGGCTAATAAAAAAGTGAAACATAACTTTCAGTTATGTGATACCCCAAAAGGTTAATGGAAAATCGTTGTAGACGATGTCACACGTTATGCAAAGTGACTCGAAAAGCGGTAAGGAAATATAAATTTTGGATATCCATCCTCTAGTTTTGTTTTCTGGTTACACACATATAAGTCAGACACATAAGTCTTAATAAAAAAAGAAAAAATTTTGATAGTTAATAGTAACGATACGGCTAATGTAATACATGACATCGGAAAATATGTAATTTGGGGTACTTACGGTTTTCTTGGGTTCGGTGAAAAATCGCATTTCATACATTACAATCTGTAAATGTTTAAATAATTGTATGTTCAAAAGAGATTTTGTTTTACATTTTACATATTAAAAAAAAATACGGTTCGATTTCTTTGCTTTACTATTGAATGTATATCTAACCGTTACCACGAAGAGTCATGCATGTAACCAATGACAATGATTTGCAACTTTTATTTTCGTCCAAAGCAAAAATTACATCAAAGATACGTAATGGCCCTCTTGTTTTTCAATAAAAAGTTGAAATGCATTAATTAAAGTACTAATTTAAATACTTTGTCTTTTTTTCATCAAAAAAATATTTTTAAACCAGGCAAATTTTTTTCTTTTGTTTTAGCTTAACTTCAAATTTTGTCATATCATTTCCAAATTTCCTCTCTTCATCCGCTTAAGCATAAACTTGCCATCATTTTATATAGATCACGTTAAGAATATCACTAATTATAAAAATATTGACCTAAAATCAAAAAAGAGACTGTTCTAATACTCAACTCAGCAATTGATCTGTTGTTGATTTGTTGACTAAAAGAAAAAGAATTAGAATTCTAATAATATATTGTATGCATATGCATTTGTAAGTCCGTTTTGTTGTAAATTTGTTCCATTAAATGAACAAAGTTACTTAAAGGATACATTTTCCAGAATTGTTTCCCAATTTTAAGTAATGGTGTATTTAGTTAAAAAAAAAACTTTTGGTTTGCCCGTTCTATCAAGTGTTTCTTTAAGTCAGCTGCTTCGGCGACATTGCCATGCTTTGTTCAAGAATTTTTTTTGAGTGTGTTTCTTTTTTACTTGCTCTATATTGACACATTATAAAAATAATGTTTTTTCCTCGCAGCATGTTTAAAGTCTATTGAAGAAAGGTTTTATCGTACATATGCTAATTGATTGCAATAAATTATAAGTAATTTCACTAAAAAACAGCTTTAAAATGTCAAACTTTAAAAGAAATCTCGATAATTGTTTTAAAAAAGATAATGGGGGCATCTTTAAATATAATCGAGTCATAGGCCAAGTATCTAACCAAATACCGGCTGCCATGCGTTACATCCGACATCGTAAGGATTACCTTATTATCACTTGTGTTGGACGTTCATTCCAAGTGTATGCAAGTAGTCACTTTCGTCTGTTGCACGTGAGTGGCCAGCATCCAGACGACATAACTGCTATGGCTGCTGATCGCAGGCACATTTATACTGCTTGTAATAAATGCATTTATGCGTGGCGAGCAGGAAAACATGTGAAAAATGTTTATCGGGGACATGCTAAGAATGTTCACACTATATTGCCTTTTGGCTGTCATTTGATTGCGGTAGATGAAGATAATGTCTTGAAAATGTGGGATATTAAGGAAGCGAGCGTATATTTGGAAGTCGCATTTGAAGATGATTTCAAAGTCACAGCCGTGGCGCACCCACCAACTTATGTTAATAAAATTGTATTGGGATCCGAGCAAGGACAATTGAAGCTTTTGAATGTCAGGAATAATCGTGTATTATATACATTCAATGTACATTCAAGTCGAGTTATATGCATAGAGCCGGCACCAGCTATTAATGTCATAGCTGCGGGGCATCAAGACGGTTGTATAAATTTAATCGATCTGTTATACAATCAAATATTAATGAGATTAAAGCAAGATTGGGGGACAGTGTTAAATATTACGTTTAGAACTGACGGTCCTCCCATTATGGTCTCAGCGAGCAATCATGGTTACGTAGCATTTTGGAATTTAGAGGAAAAAAAGGTACGCGTCTCTCTTATAAAAAGAAATTAGTAACATAACGTGAAAAAACATGGATCCTTTAGATTTTAGATCAACTTCAGGTACATGAAGATGCGGTGTCGACTGCCATTTGCTTGCCAAACGAACCTTTGATGCTAACTACTTCCTCAGATAATTCAATGAAATTGTGGATATTCGATATGATTGACGGTGGGGCTCGTATGTTGCGCATACGTGAGGGGCATATAAGGCCACCCCTTTGCTTACGTTACCATGGACAAAATGGTTCAACAATTTTATCGTCAGGAGAAGACTGTTCTTTAAGAGCTTTTAGTACAATCACAGAAACTTTCAATAGGAATTTTGGCAAAGCCAGCTATAATCGAAAATCTTCTAAGAAGAAGAGTAAGACATTCTGTACAATATTTTTCTGGAAGGGCTAGTAAATGCTAAGCAATTACATTACAGATCGTTTCCAGGACGACCCTCATCGTATGCCTCCTATTATTGAATTTACTAGCGAAACTACATGTGAAAAAGAATGGGATAATATAGTTGCTATACATGCTGGTACACTACAGGCCACAACTTGGTCTTTTCATAAAGGCCGCATGGGACAAAATCGTTTAATACCTCAAAAATTTTTTAATAAAAATTGCCCTGACATTTTTGTTGAAACAACCTGCATTGCTTTAACACATTGCGGAAATTTTGCGATAATAGGTAACTAGCGGCCCAACATTGAAGCACTTTCGCTTTTAAAAGTTATAAATTTTAAGGGTACTCTTCTGGGGATGTTGAAAAATATAATGTACAGTCAGGTCAGCATAGAGGTAGCTACGGTAATCCAGGCCACAAAGCTGCTGTTCGTGGATTAGTTGTTGATAATCTCAATCAAATGTTGGTGTCTGGCTGCAGTAGTGGTTTGCTAAAGTTCTGGCATTTTAGAGAAAAAGGTAACAAATATTTTTAAATATAAACCAATAACTGTATTATCTACTCACAGTTAAAGAACCTTGGAGGACGATGCGATTGCTGGAAGGTATTGCGTTTATGCGCTCACACCGCGACAGTTCCATCATTGCGGTAGCGTTAATTAACTACACAATTTTAGTAATTGATTTAGATACCAAAGGAATCATACGCAAATTTGAAGGTCATAGCGCCAAACTAAATGATTTGACTTTTAGTCCCGATAGTCGTTGGATTATTTCAGCTTCAATGGATGCAACTATTAAGGTGTGGGACCTGCCTTCCTCATATATGATTGATCAGTTTCGTGTAGAGAAACCTTGTGTATCAATCACCATGTCACCAACCGGCGATTTCTTGGCTACTGCTCATGTCGGTTATTTGGGAATTTATTTGTGGGCAAACAGAACGCTCTTTAACCGAGTACCATTGCATTCTACTAACCCCCGTTTCGGTGCTCCCTTGGTCGAAGATCCATCGAATCTAGATATCGAAACGACAAAAGTGAACAAGGCCGTAAATGCACACGATCTTATATCTAACCAAGAAGAGAATTTGGAACAAATCGACTTTGTGTACCTTACACCGCAGCAGTTGTCGAAGAATACAATTTCTGTCTCTAATCTGCCTGCGCTGAAATGGCAAAATCTATTCGATTTGGACATCATTAAGAGACATAACAGAACTAAATGTCCACCAAACGTTATCAAGCTGGCCCCTTTCTTTATACCGACTCTATCCGGGCTTGAGATGGAGTACGATGTTAGTACGGACAAAGTTGGGCGAAAGAACAGCAGATCGAAAATTTCAAAACATTCTTTAGGCAGTCATTTAACAAATTTCGCTAATTTGGTTGAAATTGCCGCTTCTTCTACAGATTATGAATATTCCGTAAATCGTCTTAAGCAAATGAATCCAGCTGACGTCGATTTTGAAGTTAAATCTTTGAATCCCCTAAGTGATGGTAAAGTAATAATACAATTTGTGAAAATAATTCAGCACATGCTGCTATCGAATATTGATTTCGAATTGGTTCAATCGTATTTGAGTATTTTTTTACGACATCATGGCTTGGCATTATTGGAATTTGCAGAAGTTATTGAAAGTTTGCAAAATGTGGCAGAGTTGCAGGAGGCTAGTTGGGATAAAATTGAAAAAAAATTAATGTTTGGAATAGGGGTTGTGGCAACCTTAAGAAATTTTACACAATAGCTTGTAAATGTATATCGAGATATTAATGGACCCCCTAAACTTGGTTTTACACGGGTTTAAGAAAAATACACTACTTTGTTAATTATAACTTTATTAAAAAATGCGCACGTTTATGATTTTTAGTTTTATATGCATGAAATTATGCAATTCGTTTATTGCGCACTTTGTTTTTTATTCAAAAGATAAAATGAGTAATAGAGACTAAAGACGCAAGGAAGCAAGCTTGACTATTTTCAATTGCTTTATTTCTGTTGAATACGAAAGATTTTATGGCGATGTCAACCTCTTTTGAACAAACTGTTATATAAAAACGCTGCGTGGGAATGTAATCAAGAGTGCAAGGGCGCCTTTAGTTATGTAAAACGCCACTTGAAAAATGAATTATTTTTAATTCATTTCAATTCCAGGTTGCCACTTGCAACTGCTTTCGACGCTTGAGGAATTGGAGCAGGTAGAGTCACCTTGCACCAGTATTTCAGTGGAACTGACGGGATTATCCTGGCGCGCAGTAAAGGCGGCATAGTTAATAAGGAAGCAATATATTTGAGGCGCTGACACTTGAAGAAGCATTGTTAGGGCTAATTAAATTTCATCGACTATTATGGTAAAAAATTTTGTGTAAAGGTACACATCTTTACATTGCATATTTTTCCTTTTTGTAAACTAAAATAGGTATTCTATTTCCATCTATTTATTTTATTTTTTTTTTTGAATTGAAGGCTTTTCACTTACATTTTAGTCATTTCAATATTACGATTGCGTAGTGTTTGATTCCCTTCATTGTTTTGTTTAAAGCTTCTGTAATTTCCTTCAAGGATCTTTCAAAACTCAATTGAGTTTCCCACGTTTATCGTCGGCTTCTTCGAGTTTGCGCATGCATTCACTTTTAATTGATGTTACCAATATCACGGCACATTTTCTTTATCCCTGCATATGACAAGTATGCAGTTTAGTATTTTTATTTCCAAATTTCTTACCGACTTTATTCCCAAAATTTTATTATGTTCTCTCATCATCGTTTCGAAATTATTCGCTTGTGCTTTAAATGTGCGTTCCACTCGTCTCTGAAGTAAGGGAATTTTGCTATATGCGACTGAAAAAAAAAATCTTTTTGGGTTCCTACAGTCGTCTTTTAAGAATTTCGTGCTACCACGATTTGTGCCTGAATCCTCCAAGGTGTCAAAACTGAACCTATTTTAAAAATTATATGACAATATAATTGTAATTAAAGGGAATTTGATATTCTTTTCATATGCAAATAAATTATTATATTTTATTATGTATGTATATGAAAGGCGTTACTTTTTCACTTCTTTTCTTCTCTTTTCTTTACACCTTCCGCGTTCAGCAAGCCTCTGAGACGGACACCTTTGAGGTACCGTTATAGGCTCGTTGCAAATTGTTTTAAATGGCTGGCCCAACTGTAGGCCTACTCCATTATAGGCTTGCTTTAAAATTATAATACATTTATATGATATTCATATAATATCTATACTAATAATAAGTAAATCTAAGCCCCGTTAATACATAATATATATATATAATACATAAATATATCAAAAATATATATAAATCCATAAAGCTCGATGCAGGTGTGTTGATATCTGCAAAGGTAAATTAAGATAATTACTAAATTTATATATAAAGGTGGTTACAAACTTACCATTGGCCTATTGAAATGTCGCATTCTGCTGAAGTTATAGTGCAGGCGGATTCCATTTTTTTGAACTAAAATGAAATGAAAAGAAATGAGTTTATTATGCATAATGATAACTGAAGATGGACACGACTTACCTTGAAATCATGACGATGTATAAGAGGCGGTGGGCGACGGCGCGTCGTTCCTTTTCCATCTAAAATACAAAATTAGAACGTAAGTAAGTAATTCATTAATAGAAATATATTATATTTGAATTACCCTTACTTTACTGGTTTCGGGGCCCGACTTTTCTTACTCTCCTTAAAATGCCGAAACGTTTGTTTTGTCCGGCTCCCTCCAATATTTCTCCCTCAACAATACGTGTAATATATATCCGAGCAAATGATTTCGGTTTGCTCCATTGGGGCAGGATCCACTATTTGCGAAAAAGGGAAGCCGTGTCGCGATTGTGGCTTGTAGGCGCAGGCCTATTTCGGGCGTCATCATGTTCGTATGCATTTCTGCGTCGAACTCCTTGTTGACAAAATGTTTTGGCAGCGCTGGGTTTGCGATATTGCGACCTGCATAGCAAATGGTTCTTCTTGTCTTTCGCCACTTGCATTCCGTTTAGTATCTGGCAAAATTCGTCTTCTGTCAAATCTTTGAGGCAATCGTGGTAATTGATCTGGTCACGTCCCGCCCGATATCGTACCCTGTGACCAGACGCAGCTAATTATCATTTTTTTTTCCAGCTGACCTGTCGTCAGGTTAGTAAATACTTCTCCTTCGAGCCTGAATGGTTCAAACTCTTCTTCGGGCTCTTATTCTATGTTGTAGTTTAGTTTATAGATCAGCTCGTCGTCGTGTTGAAGTGCGATTGCATTCGCTTCTCCACTTGAAGGGTAAGTGCCGCCTCCCTCGATTTGCTCGGACCGTTGTACATGGGAAGTAAAATATTTTCTACTATGCGTATGTGGCTGGATGGCATTATCCGTATTGTGTTAGCGTCCTGTTCAGTTTCCCCCGTGGTGTCCGTTGTGGTCGTATCGTCTTCGATATTTTCTACTAATCTTTCTTCGATATTCTCTACTAATCTTTCTCCGATATTCCCTACTAATCTTTCTTGTAATCGTCGCATCGTTGCTTCTTCACATAATACTTCTGAACATGGCATAAATGTTCGTCTAGTTGAAAACGTGGCTTACTGGGGATGGTAGTAAGTGATTTGAATTTTAGTAAATTATTGTTATTTACATAAAATCAAACGCTTTTCTAGTTTTTTACGACCTTGAAATGAAAATCATGGCAGCCAATTTCTTACGGTTGTCATTTGTGGAACGGCCTAGCTCATGCGAGGTAGAGCATTTACGAAATTTAGGACATGCCGTGCCGCATGACAAAAAAAAATTAAAAGTAAAATAAGGTAAAAAAGAACGATCTGACGAAATCCTTAAGGAACTCTCGTCTGCGATGCCCGTTGTCTGTTCGCTTTTCGTTATCCTCACCTGCACGCACACCCACCCACAGTTCGCTTTAGCGGTAGGGCATTCCGCATAGCCAAGCATTATCTTTTTTTTTTCCGTTTTTAGTTGTTTTATTGTTATTAATTTCCACGAATGTCAAGGAAGTGCTACTCCTATGTACAATTATCATAAGTTTAGATTAGTTTTGTTCCAATAAATATTGTAATTTAATATATGTATGTGTTCAATTGTTAAATAAAAATATCCAAAAATCTTCTCTTAAATCATGTTCATAATAATAGCATATTTAATATTTATTTATTTATTGTTTTTTTGGATGAAGTCGTAAATAAATTATTCTTTTTATAATATTTTTTGTTTTTGCGTTTTGTTTTACATTAAATTTTAATGAAAATACGTACGTTGACGCTGCAGTAAAGCTTCATTTTTCATACCATTGGTAATAAGCGTGAGTTCCTCTCGCGATTTTCGTGTATATTTTTTCTGCCAAAGCTATGGATATTTCCGCATGTTCTCCAGCTTTCCATGTCGTATAATAATGCGTTTACCTGACTGGGAGTAGTGGATGATGAACTATTTTTGCTTTTCTCGTTCTATGTAATTGAAATTATTAGTAAATTGATGATTATTTTCTCTATTGTTCTGGCGGTTTTCTCTTTATAAATTTATTTTCTTTAAAATGGAATTGGTTTGTTAAATGAAAAATATTTTCGTTTTTATATCGTCTTTAAGAAAGCGTTGACGTCAACTTGTGCGATTCTTCACAGCACAGTTTGATAATTATTCATGTGAATGACCTCTCCAGCGTCCTTTTTTCTTTTTTGCTTTTATTTAATTATCATTGCATTATTTGCTTGATTAAGACAAAGTAAAGAAAATAACCAGCAAGTCTTAAAATCACTTTTTTTTTTATTCAGAAAAAACAAGGCAAAATAATCCAGAAATATTTCTCGTCTCGTGTTTACATTCCTATAGCTTAAGTCTATGATGCAGGCAGTCATTTGCCAGTTTTGGTTAATATATTAATCTTTTTATAATAATTTTTTTGTTCTTTTCTAATATTTTAATATTAACAATTTTCTTCTTCACGACCTATGAACAGAAGTTCACCAACCCTTCTTACAAAACTTTCATAATTTTTTTGTTCTTTACGTAAATATATTTTTTTGTTTTATTTATTTCCTAATTTTTTTGCTTTCGCACGCCTTCCGTTCAAGATATTCCAAATAATCTCCATTTTCGAAATCGATGCCCTTTCTTTTATCCTCAATCAACACACACCACGGAACCCCCACGTTACAACTGCATGCGGACGTTATTCGGCGAGTCTTCTAAAAAAAAATACAAAAATTCAGTGCAAATCGAAGAACATTGCGTAAAGACACATTGGGGCGCACAAAGGTTAGTATTTAGTGTTTCGAAACTATAGTTCGAAATACAATTTGTGAAGATTTCTCTAGATCATTGAGCTATTCTGCAGAAAGAGCGGAAGGGTTGCTACAACCCGAAGTCGCAACGTGGAAGGAGATTATTTAAGTACTACAGTACTGTCGATCTATAAAGATAGATCGACATGTGAAGGCACCTTAGTTGAGTGAGAAAGTTGGAGGATTACTGGCGCAAGGTTTATAAATTTTATAAAAACATGAAAATATAAAAGATGTTTAAAACTATAACTCGCACAAATATGTACGCAAAAATTATATAACATTAAATACTACCACCTGTTTTGATTGAAAAAAACCTTTTGTATATTAGAAACTAAATGTAAGTTTCTTGTAAATCGATTATGATCATTTCAACATTCAAATTCATTTATTTATAGGCCCACATAAATTTTACAAATTTTCTTTTCATTTTGCATGCTTGTTATTGTTTACCATATGTACTTTATTTACACAGAACATAAAAACGTGAATTTGTATCTCATATTTTAGGCCTCTCTCAGTTATTAACGCATTGTAAGGAAAATTTGAAG